AGAGTTTCACCCGTTATGCAAGAACACATTGATAAGGCCGTCAAAGAAATGTTGGAATTAGGTGTGATTGAGCCTTCTAGTTCGGCTTGGTCAAGCCCTGTTCTTCTTGTACCGAAAAAGGGAGGCGAATATCGCTTTTGTGTTGATTATCGACAACTTAATCGAGTAACGAAAAAAGACGCATATCCACTTCCATTCATTTCAACTATCTTAGACAAATTACGGGGTGCAAAATTCCTAAGTTCTATCGATATTAAATCAGCCTATTGGCAGGTCCCAATTGCACCAGAATCTCGTGATTACACAGCATTTACCATACCAGGTCGAGGTCTCTATCATTTTAAAAGAATGCCATTTGGGCTATGTAATGCGCCGGCAACGTTCGAACGTCTGATTGACAAAGTTTTAGGACCTGAATTGGAACCTCAAGTATTCTACTATTTAGACGATGTTATCATTGTTTCATCTTCTTTTGAAGAGCACATGAAAACTTTGAAAGAGGTTTTCGAACGTTTCCAAAAAGCAGGGCTCACAGTGTCGAAATCAAAATGCTTCTTTTGTCGCCCTGAACTGCGTTATCTAGGTTACGTCGTGGATAGCCAGGGTCTCCATGTAGATCCCGAAAAAGTATCTTCCATTTTAAATATCCCACCGCCTAAAAACATCACTGAGGTTCGTCGTGTGTTAGGTGTTGCTTCATGGTACAGGAGATTCATCTCGAACTTTTCTTCTCTTGTTGCCCCAATGACCGCTCTTCTCTCAAAAAATAAAAAGTGGTGCTGGTCGGAAGATTGTCAGAGAGCTTTTCAAGGTATCAAGAACGCCTTAGCTTCAGCTCCTGTGTTAACATGTCCTGACTTCAGTCGACCATTCCAAGTGCAGACAGACGCGTCAGCATACGGAATAGGTGGTGTTCTTTCCCAAATTTTCGAAGATGGCGAACATGTGATCTGTTACGTGAGCCGATCCCTGACACGTCAAGAACGTAACTATAGTACGGTAGAACGGGAATGTCTGGCTGTTCTCTTTTCGATCGAAAAACTACGTCCATATCTTGAGGGCTATGAATTTTCTGTTATAACGGACCACCATAGTTTGGTATGGCTCCATAATTTGAGGGAACCTAAGGGTCGTATAGCTCGTTGGTTGCTACGCTTACAGCAATTCAATTTCAAGATTTACCATCGGAAAGGCCGTGATAACGTAGTGGCAGATGCATTATCACGAGCTGTGCCAGAAATTAATGCCATCAACGTTTCGAGCGAAGTAAACCCATCTTCAGATAGTTGGTATCTCCGTATGGTTCAGCAAGTTAAGGAAAGTCCTCTGAAGTTTCCACAATGGCGAGTAGTCGATGACAAACTTTTCAAGTATGTTTATTGTCCTTATCCTGGTTTGCGAGATACGACGGACTATTGGAAAGAGGTTGTTCCGAAGGAGAATAAGAAGAAAATTATTAGGGAAAATCATGATGAAACCGTGGCTTGTCATGCTGGTGTTTTTAAGACGTTTGAAAGGGTGAAGGAACGCTACTATTGGCCAAAAATGCGAGCTGATGTGGCCGCCTATGTTAGGAAATGTCAAACTTGTAACCGACATAAACCGGAGCTGCAACGTCCTGCCGGTTATATGGGTAAACATCCTGAACCAACTGTTCCTTGGCAGATGATCTCTGTAGATCTCGTTGGTCCCTTGCCTCGCTCAAAAGAAGGATATCGGTTTATCTATGTGGTCACAGATACGTTCAGCAAATTTTCTTTGTTTTTCCCTTTAAGATCAGCTACAGCCATTGCAGTTACACGTATAACTGAAGAGCATGTTTTTCTGATGTTCGGTTGTCCTCAAATCTTAATATGCGATAATGGAGTACAGTTTCAGTCCAATGCTTTCAAGAAGTTATGTGAGAATTATCATGTCCACATTAGATTCACGCCTCTGTATCACCCTCAGGCAAACCCAGTTGAAAGAGTCAACCGTGTTCTTAAAGCAATGCTGTCTTGTTACGTTGAAGAAAATCATCGCATATGGGCTGAGTTGTTACCGAAGGTTGGCTGTGCAATTCGAACTTCCGTTCATGAGACTACAGGTTTGACACCATTTTTTGTTAATTTCGGGCGTGAACATAAACCCAGTGGAAATAATTATGAACATCCACTTGCCATTATGGACAACGATCCTAGGCCTCGAAGAGCAGTAGAGGAATTCAAAAACATCTATAGCGATGTTCGGAAACGTCTTGATGATGCTCATTCTAAGTCCAAAAAGCGCTATAACCTTAGGCGTAGGCCGGTTAGTTATTCGGTTGGTGATTCGGTCTATGTGAAAAACCATGTGCTTTCTGATGCTACTAATTATTTTACGGCTAAGTTTGCACCAAATTATAAAGGTCCTTTTATTATTAAAAAGAAGTTATCTCCAGTGACATACGAAGTAGTCGATAGTAATGATAAATCTCGAGGTACTTGGCATGTACAAGATTTCAAGTCTCATCCACCTGATCCGACTTCCGAGGATGAAGATTTTCTCGATTCCAATGTAGATCCGTAACATTCAGTAGGCAGTATTTTCGACAAATTATCTTGTTGAGATTTACAGGTAAATCTCTTCGGGGTAGAGGGGGAGTGTTACACTTCGTTTTTGCCGAACGAAAGTACTGCACTGATAGCACATCGAAATTGTTTTGTTTACGTACTTTTGTCTCAATTCTTCATTTGTTCATGGGTGTATTATTCATCATTTGTCATTGATATTATCTTTTTGCAATCTCAAATAGTTTTATAAGTACAGTCTATTGCCGTGATTTATTATTTTATTTAGCTCCTGAAAACGAAATAGTTTATCGGGTCCCAAGACAAGGTTTGTTGTCGTTGCTTACCGTAGTTCACGATTCTGGTTTCGAATATTTATTCACGCTGTTGTTTTTGTGGGATGATAGCCAGTCTTCTTCGATATGTTCGAGCGCACGGATATTCAACAGTTTAGCGAGGATCATTTCACTATTTTAGTTATCAGTCGATTTATCATATTGTGCTCGTTGTTTACATTTTCAGTCAATAATATTGAGCGAGGTATCACTGTCAGAATCTTTATCACTGTCAGATTGTTGACCGATATTTGCGAGCTGCTCTGCTTTATTTTGAAAGACAATGTCATTATTTTTATGATTCTCCGTACTTTTAGCAGTTGCTAACATCTGTCATTGACAGCAGTTCATTTTTCATCGATATTTGAATGGCCCTCAAAATTGATTGATTATGGAAGGACTAAGCTCAGCATGATGTCGGGATTTTTGTCAAAATAGTGATTTGTTGTTAAATCGGATAGTAGGTGTGATAACCCTAGTGTTTATGTCTCGTTCGATGAAGTCGAGCATCCATCGAAAAAGAAGAAGATTGCGTCATGGGTCGACGTAGTTCCGAGGTCATGTCTGCGCATGTCTCCGTTTGAATATTGTGGTCGTGGCAAAACGGCTTTAACCGCCGAAAAATCAATTTCCACGAAAACTAAATGGAAAATGGTTAACATTCACTAATATCGGGTAAATTAGGTATTTTCTTGTTGGAGCTAGGATATTCTCTCATCTTTCTGTGGTGGTGAAATACCATCTACAGTGTGTTCGCGGGAAAATCTCCCACCAACACTTTCCTGAGGTATGGGGCGTTTTTGAGATAAAGACCGATCTTCCGGTTGAAGGACGGCCCATCATCTTCAGGAGATATCTCGCCATTTTTCCTGGAGAAGGTTGATCCAACTCGTGTGACAAGTAAGCCAGAGATTCGATTTCGCATTGTACATATTTTGATTTATTTTTTCTCCATTAGTGTTGGGATTAATTCGATTCGAATTCTCATTTCGTGGTGACCAATTTTGGTTTTGGTACCATACCTCAAATTGGAGGGATTTAAGGCCGAAAGCCACGAGGCTGACATCAGCCGATCAAGAACCCGACCACCATCACATCAGGTATGGAATTTAGTCTTGATTATTTTTCGAGTGGCACACAACCATTTTCTTTTTTTTATCGTTTAGGGTTCTTATTCTCCTGGAATTATCTCCTGGCTTCCGATCTGCGTCATCCACCGGTTTGGCCCTTTTTTTTTTTTGCAAGCCCCAAAGAAGAGCCTGCTGATGAACAAGCAACCCTAAGAATCCCCTGTATAGTTGCTGAGGAGTAAACAGCTCTTCGAGTCCACCCTGTTTGGACCCTGTATGGATCCGGTATGCACCCTGTAGCGTCACTCTCTGTCCTGTACGCTCAACACCCTGTATATGAACGACGTGGCCGCCTACACCCTGTACTCGACAGCTAGACACCACCGAGGAACATAATCGCCTGTCACCTTCAATTTTGGTGAGTCTGTTCCATATTAGTACCCGTTTGGAAGTGGAAAACTACCACCAAATACCGCTACCACTTAGAAGGGTTGAAAATTACCGTTTATGCTGAGTTATAAGTAAAATACCCCAAATTGTACCATTTATTAGTATTATCAAGTCATTCATATATTGGAAACCAACGTGCACTGCGGTATTGCTTTATCACCTTGTCTATATATATCTGTTATTCCCATTTTTGTTATAAATTGATTATAAGGGATGTACTGAAGAGTTGATTTCAGACAGTCTCTAGTTGTGATATAAAATATTGCTAATTGATGGTTTTCATTGAGATCAAGGCAAAATTCTAGTGGAATTGTATTTTTCAAGTTTTCTTATTATTAAATCTATATATTCACCCTACTTCTGGCATTTAACGTACCCACCCCATTGTCCCGCTGAACTACCAGTGTTTGGTTTCTACAGTCTCAAACTAGGCACTTAAAACACTTATTTTGTAGCAAAACTTTTGAGAATTAAAACACCAAGTAAATCTCAGGCAGGTTAACAGCCAACTCAGGGGTAGAATCATAACTAAATTTTATCACTTATTACCCCCTGAAATTTGCAAGGTTACATGCTCTATATTTTAATCCTAGCATTTCGCGCCCATATCTCCTCACCTGGAAGACGCAGGGCTCCACCTGCCTGCCGATCGCATTCGACCCCGAACACGCCAGCGTGCCGTAGTCCCGCTGGAACGCAGGCGTGTACGTCAGCTCGCTGACACCCCCCTTGCCCCCCTCGTCTACGCCGCTGCCCGCGAACCGCTCTTGGGGCACGTCGAAGCTCTCGCCGCTGTTGCTGAACTGCCAGAGGAAGGCGACGTTGCTGGGGTCGGCCGATACCCGGCAACGCACCCTTATGGCTTCGTCTAGAGAAGCGCCGATCACGGTGATGTCACCGCCGTCTTTGATGCACACTGGAGCATCTGACAGATGAAAAAATGATCCTTTATACCCATTCGCGTCCTCTTATGAGGTCACATGCCCATTTTTCTGCAACTCTTATGCAGCCTTTTGTATAATACCCAGCAGTATAGATGATTCAAAAAACGGTGTACTTCAATTGTTTCATATTAGTCTACTATATACACATATATGTTTTGATTGTGCAACTCAGTATCTTCGGTTATTCAACCCATTCTGAGGAGAATGTGACTGAATAGTTGTGTCCTTACTTTTCATATATGCCCAGCAAACATGATTGAGCAGTAAATAGGCCGATTGCTGGTAACTGCGGTTAGTTGTCGGCAGCGGCACACCTATGTCGTTAAAATGTTGAAACGACATCGGTTTTGCCGCCATGGCTGAACGTACGCATGTTTATAATGGATGTTTGTTATTCAGCCAGAAATTGCCCGTTTAAAATTCCCGACAATCGTGCCGATGTCGCTTTGACGCAGTATGTATGTTGTTTACAGGTCAGTGGTAACTGAACCAAACGCAATGTTGGCATCACTGGGTTTTTGAGCATTGGTAGTACTGCTAATTTATTTTCGTGTTTTAGTTCTGTGTCCGTAGATCGCGTCAGTTGTCTGTCACTTGTCTTCAGGTATTTGTTAAACGGCGTGATAATATTAATATTATTTAGAAAAAGTTGGTGAGTTTTATGATTGATCCCAGCAAACTATCGTCCGACATCAAGAATAATGATATATGTTATATAACAATAATTAAACTCGTTATTGTCTACCAATCCATTTTTGTGGTAATGATTTTGAGCTAAATATTTGTTCATTACCCTATATTATAACAATGATGCTCCAATGCGAAGTTCAGCTCTTTACCTATATTCGAAAAATATTTGATTCACAGTAATAGATCAAACACTGGAAAAGTAATGTGGCTAGAACATTATCAGACTAAACCTATTCTACGTCGTCGAATCAACAAGTTATGATAGGTATATCGTATATGATCAAATATCAAATATAATTGAAGTATTGTACTATTTCAATTCTGTTGACTGATGGATTCGTAATAGTATCTTTCAAGTTTCGCAGTAGCCTAGTGGTATAAGCGTCTGACAGTTGATTGGATATCCGTTCGATCGCAAGTTCGAGTCCGACTCCCGACTATATCTTTTTTTATTTCTAACCGAATAGTGTCGGTAGATAGTCGGGCGGCCTACTAGCGGCCGGTGCGACACGGGCTAGCCGGGCCGACGATGTATCATGATTGTGGCCCGCTGATGTTGACTGTCGGCAGTTTTTGGAGGGCGTCTAAAGGCCCGCGCGATACATGTTTGCTGAGCTATAGTAGCAGATGAAATAGTTGTTAGTTCAGTAAACTCGGAGGAAGATAAACAGTTTATCTAGAAAAGCCTTAGCTCAAAGTCAATTTGACTAAACTAGCGCTTGATAAACCGACCCTGATAATGAAATATACGTTATGTCACTGTCAGAAATTAGCTTTGAGTTAAGAATTGCTACAGTGTGGAAGCTTGGTGGGAAAAATGGGTCTGGCTCCAAATTTTATTTTGATCCTTATACAGGGTGAGTCGGGAGGATCGCACCAAACTCCAGGTATGTATCATACACGTAAAAATAATTTGAAAAAAGCCATATGTTCTGATACGATTCTCATTTGTTTTCTTTCAAATTTGAATAGATTCGTCGCATTTTATAAGACTTTAATTGTACAAACTCGATTGTTTCATCTGTTTTGTTGTTCTGACTGTGTTCGGGTCAGTGTCAGTGTGTTTGACGCGTTTATTTTCGAGTTTGTACGATTGAAGTCTCATGGAATGCCACACATCTATTAAAATTCAGTATGGAAACGAATGGGAATCGTATAAGAACATACATGGGTTTTTTAAAATTATTTATACCTGGTACAATACACACCTGGAGTTTGGTGCGTTCCTACCGACTCACCCAGTATTTTTTCAATTTCTGAAGTCGATGGATTTCAACTCAAATCTGTGAAGCTATGAAAAATCACCAGCTCCAAGTTGACAAACATTGCTCACACCTTCAGATTAATAGCCATCATTATACAATAGCTGAATGAAATACCTCCTATTCCTGCGGTAGATTCCTACATACATCGGATATTTCGTCGTTCTGTACGGTGCCGCAAGCTCAAATTGCATTATTCAAAAAGGTTAAATCGAAAGGGAAACAGCGCAAATGGCAGACCAGAGAAAATCCTGAATTTTAATATGGAAATGAAATTTCGAGGATAACATTCCGGCATCAAATGAATGTAATTACGCACCTGTCTGTGGAAAATGAGCGAGGCGTGTAACCCGATGATCCTTTTGAAAAAAGTGCATTTTAAAGAGAGCATCTGGAAATGTTCTTCCTCTACATTATACATACTACTGATAACATTCATACATTTTTCTACTATAATTATGTCAGGAAATTCTCTTCTCAATAATCATTTATCATGTGTTGAGAACCAAGAGGCAAGATCATAAAGAAAAATTGAAAGAAGTAGAAAAAGAAACAACATATTACATATAAAGAAAAAGGAATCTGAGTTTCCTGAGACTCGACAACTGAATGATAACTTTAGCACCATTGGAATACCCAAACAAGTTCCAGAAACTATCTCGATGATTTGAGCCATAAAGTGGCGTTTTAGGGATTGAATTTAGGTGCAAAAATAGAATACAAAAATTTACCCAAAATAACTCAATGATCTGATGGAAAGCAACTGATCGACAACCTCAGTAGAACTGAAAATATAATTCAAGATTAACTGGCTCTTTAGTATCTTCTCTCCCTGGTAATCTTACTTCTACTTCTTCTGCTTCTTCTACTTCTTTTTATTCTACTCCTCTTAATTCTGCTTCTTGGTCTTGATGGCAATTCAGTGGCCGAGATAAGAATTTAAGCTTTACTGAATATTTTTATGGTATCTTGAATAAAATTTTGTAATTGAGCTAGTCATTTCTCATTTCATAGGTAGACATCTTTGACTATAATAATTTCTGTAAGAATGTTATTCTGACATACTTAAATATTACACTTTGGGATACAGGAAAAAAAGGAGATAGTTGAACCCAACGGAGCAAAAAATACCTAGATCAATTCATGAAAGGAATATTGTTTTGTAGTATATTTCAAATAATTGAATCCGATTTTATATTTTCTGCGATTGGATGAAGAATGAACGATAATAATTAACATTATCGTTATTATCAGATACCTTCTACAATTTGTAGAGTTTTATTCTGCTATGTCGAGATAATTCAACATTATACAGGGTGACATTGAAATTAATACAATTATTCGAACCCTGATGAGAGAGGTCGACGTAAACTATCGTATGGCACCAATAAAAATATCAAGGATCAAAATAAAGTTGGGGGTGAGACCAGGGCCTACTGATAGAATAGGCCCTGGCTTCGCCCTCGAGCTACAAATCACACCTTGGAAAAAAACTTGCAATTCCGTCCCTTGACATATAATGTACTATTCATCATGTCAGAAACTTTCAGAACTCGTGGATAATCATTCACAACTTCTTGCATCCTATGTTTTTTGAACAATAATTGAGAAACGACAAGAGACTCTGACATTGAAAATAGCTGCTGTGCTGCCAACACACCTACACAAAATATCTCATCCTTTTCATGTGGAATATATTCAATTAAAAGGTGAGGAAACCACGATCGTTCTAATTATTCCTGAATATCCCTATGCACCAGAAGTTGCCATGGCAACCTTTACAAACGAATGTTCAATGGTCTACGTATTATTAGATTTCACTAACGATGCTCACTGTATCGCTGCATTCTGGTATCATTAAAACGGAATCTCGAAGCAACATGTGCGTGGTGGCCATAGAATTTCGCCAAACGCAAGGTTCGGACCTCTAATAAACCGCCGAACGCGTTGCATGTGTTCCACGAGCATAATCAAATGCAATACCGCACATACAGGCTGTCTACAATGAGAATACCGACCCGAAATACCTCGCTTAGTAGTGAACGCATTGAGGTTGAACAAACGTCCGATTTTTCTAGGGCATCATCCCAATAGAAACAAATTCGAGTTTCATGGCCAACTTAACATGGTGATTTATATCTGAGTATTTTTCAAAACTGGGAGGTCTAAGAGCGAACCACTGCTATTTCTGTTCATTATTTGGTATGCTAACAAGTCTCAATAACACTTTTGTTAAATTTTTGTTCTAAAATTGTTCTTATCTCTCATCCGAATGCTGGAGGCCTTACCTTTTAACTTGTGATCCCAAACAATTTCTTAGGCCATCAGAAAAATTCTGCTGCAGTCGTGGGAATTTACTACTGACGCTTCAACAACGCAGCTGACCTGGTCTTACAGTTATCATCAAGTCAAGGTTATGCCAATACTGATACCTGCTATCTAGACCGCTCATATATCCCAGCAATCCGAACATCTCATCCAAGATGCTCGCCTGAAAACGCTTTCGCTCAATGCGCAACAACTCTCAAATTGTCGTTCATGACATCGAGTCGTGTCTCTTGGTGTTCGAAAACATGATTAAGAGTGAGTAACACAGTTTCTGAATGCGCCTGCTTCATTGGACTTGGACCAAGTTCGATATATTAAATGAATAAGCTCTGATCTCATGGCATAAGCGGTCTAGTTAGTAATCCAAAGACGCTAAGTGATGATTCAGTTATGATATGTCGCCATCTTGTTAGTTTAGGTCTGAGGCAGGGTCCTCAAACCGCTAGATCCTAGATCAAGATCAATAAGAGATCTAGAATGAGAATCAGAATAGTTTTGGTCATGGTTGTAACTAATGTACAGGGTATTACACATAATTATGTAGTCATATTATTGCCATCTAGTGGGAATATTCCAAGGTAGCACCTTCCGATCACGTCATACACATATTCAAGATGTGGTACACATTACATAGTGCTACTACAATTGAAACACTATGATGCTGACAGATTGCACTACCTGACTACTTGACTGGAAGATTC